AACTTTATTACCTCCCACTGCCTTTCAGTATTGTGGTGTAGAGTGTCCTGCAGTTTGGCATTAGGTGGAGCCAGACAATGGTATTTATAATCATGCATGGATGGCATGCCGGAACAGAAATGTGAAACTATCCAAACTTAGTGTAGCTCAGGATTACTTATGATTTAATAAAGACAAGTAAGAAGAATGCACAAGAGGGGGGCAGCAGCCCTCAGATGGTGGTTTGCAAAAATTCCCCAACAAACCGGTCCAGCTGAGCTTCCTGAGGCATCGAACCATAGAACGGAGACTGATCCTAATGAGTAAGATGGTTTTTAGCATTTTAGATTATGGTTTTATGCAGATTGTACGGCAAAAAGTGATAGAATCAGATGTAATTAAACATGAGAAGGAAACCCAACAGATTTAAGTCTTCAAACCAGGGTTGCAACAAACATGCAGTAAGTTTCAATATAATGCAAGGACAGCACTGTAATACACTTTATGACTTTTGTATAGTAAAAAAACTGATTTGGGGACAAGTTTCCCTTTTAGTTATGACCTGAATCGAGGTAATTGAGCCATGCTGCATGCAGGAACAATGTCAAAATTACAGATACAATGACAAAAATACAGAGGACATTATGCAAAACATTTGTAACATAGTATCAATGTTGACTGTGAGGGGCTATCCTAAGTTAATGGGGCAGAGTTTTAACATTCCATTGACAGCAACCATAACCAACATGGTAGAAGCAGGACTAACAGTACAAAGTGCTTCTCCAACCCTCTGATTGGTGGATTACACTCCAAACAGCTATATTACTATACAGAAGCGGTTAGTAAATCTGACAGATAGGTAAGGGTGTAACTCAGCAGCTTTCTTAGAAGTTCAGTGTTATACCGATTTGCTTAGGGAATGATACTTCTTTAAGAATACCATCAAATCCATCTGAATATAAAATCCATTACTATGACTGTTACCAATATGAAGCAATAATATCTGCCCTTCTAACAAGTATATTCCTATGTGTTTTCCTCAAATATGGTTTGAGGTTTTTTCCATGCTCCTTAAGTCGAAGGGAAATCATTTTAAATGTCAAATCATTCTGGCTTAAACATGAATATAAATGTACTCTTTAGCAGACCATATTGTCCCAGTCTTAAAATCTGTGTTTTTTTCCTTGTTATCTCATGCAGGCCAGCTAGTTATACGTCAGCCAGTACACTCACATTTGGCCAATCATACATAAACGGTAATCTGTAAATCATGTTTTCCCCCATCATAGCATCTTGATTCATATGTCGCAGCTAATACACGCAACAGTTGAAATAAGCAATAAAAATCGTTTACTTTACCATTGAGTTACATCCCAGTGTTCACTGGGATGGACTTCTGCGTCTTTGGCAGGCTTAGAGCTAACAGAACTGGCAGCGATTCGAGAGAAGGGCTCAAACATGTACGGCTTTAAGCCTTCTACACCAAACGAAGCTTCTGCCGCCCTGGCGTCTTCTTCCACAACATCGCCATCCCCACTTTCCTCCTCTAATTGAAAAATGTATGATGGAGGAGACTCATCCACGACCTCCGAACACAAAACTCTCCTCCTCTTGCATGTTTCCACTGTCCATAGCGTTCCTTGACAGTGTTGTTTCTAAGTCACCAATTTAGTGCTACTAGGTACCAATAAAATTTCCGATTGGTAACCTACTAGCACTAAGTTGCTAACTGGTTAGCAAGATGCTTCAGAGAAACTGGCCACAACCAAACTTGCTTGCGAACCTTCCACAACAACCATCCCGCCCCCTTGATAAATGACCAATCACATTCACTTCATTCATTCGTGTAACGCCATGGACCACTCGGCAAAATTCCGAAATGCAACTGTTGGTACAGCCGTTACCCTACGACTTTAAGACATCAAGCAGGATTCTTCTAAATATATATAAAAAATAACAATTCTATATCATCTGTTCACTATACAAGATTCTTGCCAGCAAAACTCGCCATTACAGTGAAACTATGCTGAATTTTAATGTGCGCAATGGCCAAGGAGCTTTTTTCTTCTTAAAAACATAGTTCTTTGAAAATAAACATGGGTTGTTTTCTGGTGTGTTTTGTTAAAGAAGGACATGCTTTTATTGTTTTATTATAAAAAAAATATGAGCATCATTTCTTTAAATGTGTGACTGCAAACTGGTGGGTCTGTTCAGAAAGTTTGCCTCTTGATGCTGATTCATATTTTGAACTAAATAAATGACTGAAGTGAGTTCGCAATTTATGTCTGATTATGTAAATGCGAAGTATGAGTATACGGATAGGCCTAGTTAGCATTTAGTACCAATGGGTGCATATTATATATATATATATATATATATATATATATATATATATATATATATATATATATATATATATATATATATATATATATATATATATATATATATATATATATATATATATTTTACAGGGAACTAAATCTTGGTAACTGACAAGAGACATCAACCCATTTGCTGCCACATTTTATTGAGGCCTGTGTAACTGATGCAATACCAACTGTTTTTGAGGAGTTATATAATGCACATTTATCTACATTTTTCAATGCATGAAACTAAACACACCAGATGCAGTCGAAGTCCGAACTTCTAAAAAAAAAAAAAAAAAACAGCTGTAAAATTTTTTGTCATGAAAAGAGACTTGGTTAGGATGGCAGAGGAGAGTGAGTGAATTGTTCTCATGTTAACAGCAAAAGGAAATAAAAGCAAAAGCATGCATAAAACTAAAGACAAACTGGTTTCAATGAACTGCAGTGGCTTATTTGAGGTTCTGGTATTAGTTGTCCCATTGCACCATGAGCTATTATTACAACAACTACCCATGAGACCAAGAGAGTAAAGATCCAAGTTAAAGCAAAAATCTCTGATCATTTGCAGAGGCGCTTCAAGTAATCTTATTTTTTTCTTGTAATGCATCTTCAATAAAACATTGAGAAAACTTGTAGTTCACGGAGACAGAGGTCATGTTTCATGTGGGATCTTAGAACAGCGCTGGAACTGTTGTAAAATGGGGGTGTTTTGGGGTGGTGGCAGAGGGGGAGGGTGGGTAGTGACATTTGCGAAGAACATTTCCTTTACAATGAAAACAATCTAACCAACTGCAGTACTCAAAGGAATTCACCTCCCCTCCCCCATCTCCCCTCCTCCAACCCCAACCATTACATTACCATATCAAAGCCCCGAGTTCAGAGTAAGTCTTCTCTTTCAAGAATGGGAGTGCGGCAGGGAGAGGGAGGAGGAGAGGACAAGACTGAAGCAGTAGGAGTAGACCCAAGACAGAGTTTGCTTTTATCCCTGTTTGGTGTGTATGTGTCAGTGTGTGCAAGACATATTGTGTACATCGTTGTGGCAACACATCTTTGTCTGTTAGTAAGAAAAAAATGCAAATATAAAAAAATAGCTTAAGGATACCAGAATGACTTCAGATAGGTTTCTCTGTGGGTTCCAATGAAGAGAAGTCATTTCACATTTCTCAAATAGACACTGGGGCCGGAGAGATGGTGGGGGTGTCTTGAAATACTAAAGCAGGTACACAGTGCAGTTAGGCTGCTACATAGCAGATGGGCAACAGAGTACAAGCAAAGCCAAAGTCTTTGCATTTCATGACTGGAATACTTTAAATAGGGATCCACCATTTACCAAACTGTATTCTTGGTTAGCTATTCTCTTACAAGTACTCACAGGTCTACAGTCTACTTTGCTGGGAGACTAAATGTGAAAATCAAAGTGAATGGCATTAGGGTAAATAAGACCACTGGTTGCCTGGGAAACAGTGTACCCAGCCCCAATCTCTCAAGCCTAGCCTTTACTTTCCTCCAATCACTAGAGAGCAATAATACATTATTGACAGAGGGCCGCAACAGACAGCAATGCAGTATTTTCAAATTGTGTTTGAACGAGAGAGACTTGTAGTTAGCCTAGACGCAAGGACAGTGAGAGAAGAGGGCACACTGAGGGGTAGACAAGGTGGGAGAGGGTTTTACGAAACCCAAACAGAACCATAAATCTGCCATTCATGTCCAGCCTCACCAAAACAATCCCTAAAAAACTCACAAATAGCAACACAATGACAATACCCTATTGTCATGATTAGCTATTATTTAAAAACTACCATTAGCTAGGTTGTTAGCAAAGTTTGAAAATGCTGTAAAGAAACTTACTTTTACTTTGCTCTAATTGGCTTAGATAGGCAGTTCAATAACATTTCTCAAAGTACATCTGCACCATCAGTGAACATCACTATATAGATTTGGATGATATTTGACTATTTATATATTTGTAGTAGTTTAACTGCTAATAGAGATACACGTTGCACAATATAAACTGCTTTCACAGGCAACCAGTTTAACATTTATACTGCCTAATTATACTTTTAATGCAATATTTGTTACCATTAAATTGCAAAAGTCAATGAATAATTCTGAAATATCGTAGGACAGTACATATCCACACATTACATAGTTGGAAGTTTCTAATATATTTCAGCTCAAAAAGAGAGAACTGAAACCATTCTAAGGAGCAAAAGACGGAAAGAAATATGCACGCATGACAACTGATATCGTCATGATATTGTTTTTAAATCTAACCGTTACAAGTATTGTAGTGATGCTTGTGCAGCCCTAGCCAATATTCACGAATGACCAAATATGAAAATGTTTTTTTAAGATTTAAAAGTAAAAACCTAAACACTAGTATAAGCCAGTGAACACGTACTGACTAAGATTAGTTTCAGCTGTAGTCTGGATAAAGTCAGAAAAAGGGAACGGTTCCACAAATGTAGGATTAAAAATGTTAACATGGTTCAGGTTATCCTTGACAGTACAGAAAATGTACACATAGAGCTAAATGAGCTCCATATCAAATACAGAGGAATTAAATAAACAAAAACGCACTGTAGAGCCACTGGGAGAATGCACACAACTAGAGTCAGCTGGAAGAAAGAGAGTAAAGTAGAGACTCACCTGTCTTTTCTTTGATCTCACAAAGAACGCTGAAGAGTGCTGGTTTCATTCTGTGACAGTTCAGGGCATGCTTCCTGTGGGACGAAGGAGGGAATAAGACAAAGAAAAACTGGGATTAGGATAATGAAAATGACATTTTATGTCATTCCAAGCTTGAAAAATATCTATATGTGATTTTAATAGTATCATCACTGCAATTGTAAACTCCAATGAAAGCTGTCTGCATTTAACCCACCACTCTTAGGGAGCAGTGACCAGCTCATAGCACCCAGGGATCGGATCCACAGTGGTTTTCTGTGGGAACCTAACTGGGTACTTGAGGCTTTCTTGAGAAACCAAGCACTCTGCTCTAACCACTATGCAGGCTTTCCCTCTGCATTTCACGTAAAACACAGCCGAGACTTAAGTGTAAAATTAAACCAGCCACAACATATAATTCTGAAGTATTTTTATGAAGTGTCACGGGAGTGTCTCGCTAAATGGACAATGTGTTGTTCAGTACAGTACCATTTAGTACATGCAGTGTGCAGAGGTCCCACTGTTTGTCTTATAATAAACATAACATTTTGTTTATGCTGCTGTAACTCTTGCCACATCCTTGGAGCATCAGTCTGAAGTAGCAAGAGTAACACTGTCATTAAAACGCTTTGCACTGTAGAACAGGTAATGATGCCAAACCTCAAGGTCATCATTACCGAGAACCTGATTTCGGGGTTAATACACAGTAATATAATTTCTCCCTGCTGAAGAATATTCAACGCATGAAACTAGATGGTGAGTAGACACAGCCCATTTGGATTCGACTTTGATAATATCATTAATAGTTATCTGTGTTGCAAAAAATATAGGATAAAGAAAATATAGAGAGAATCTCCAGATACCAGATCATCTCAGCTGCCCAGCTGAAAAAATAAAATACACTCCTTTGACACTATATAGAATTTTTTTTATTTTATAAAATGTATAATCATTTATAATAAAATTTAAATTTTATTAGTAAAAATAAAAAAAATCCATCCATATCAAGCATTCATAAACCAAATGTGCTCCGACTTTGACAAGGGTTCTTTAAAAAAAAAAGAGAGAGGAAAAAAAGGGAAAAAACTGCTGAGCCATGTAGTTTAGATCCAATCTGCTGCTCTACAGGTGAGACAGCACTGAATATAAAAAGCCAGAGCACATCAGGCATCTCTGAAGTACTTATGGAAAAAGGAAAATAAAGTTGTTGAAATTATTGAAGCCATGTAGGAGACAATCAGAAACTGAAAAATGTTGAATTTTAAATATATGAAAATTTTCAAAAGGAAAAAAAAAATCACGACTATATCTCAAGCTCCGACATAAAATCACATTTTTCAATCTTTTTTTTTTAACCAACAAAAGATGTGCATCACAAACCTCTTTCCTTGAGTTGCCGTATTTCAGTACTCTTAAACACCCATTACTGAAACATTTATAGCACACTTATATGCCCCCGGCTTTAAGGAGTATATCTGAAGCCAAATCAATAGAATCAACCAATCTATAAAACAGTGTTATGTAATGTGCACCAAGCATGTTAGGCTATTGTTGAATACCAACAGGCACAAACAGTTTTTCTATTTGAAAAGACTTTATTATAGTGGTCCTGCTAAGAAAAAATACAAATTCTACTCATTGTCAACTAGACCTATACAAAACATCCAACCCTATAATCATTTAAATATTTCACTGCTTGCATGCAAGATTTGGTAAGATGCTACATTTCATGTAGGCCAGCATGATACTAGGGAATCTTGAAAAGGGGTTAATACAGATAATTTGTTGACATGACAATATCAGCTGCGATAAGTTGTTTTTTTCTTGTCTCCCTCTCATCTGTATTTTTATCACTTTCTAACCTAAGACCTTTTAAGTATTATTTGTTTCTGGAGTGAGGATCTGCTGCTGTAAATCCGCCTGGCTTTAAAAGTTCAAGTTCATCTTGCTTGGAATATTTCAGACAACGACTCTTACGCTGCAGACAGTCCTTTGCGATATGAATATTGCACTCACTAATATGGCGATGTTAATATATTTGTAATTAATGTTTTTCCACCAATCCACTCCTTGGACTTCCAAAGCTTAAAGTGACCTAAGTTTGTCACTGTTCTTCGTTGTGCACTAATATCTGATAAAGCAGCTCACTATGCAACACTACTAGCAGCAAATGTTTAGTGTTTTATTATTTTTTGTGAAACATAACTATTTAACAAACATGTTTAACAGCTTGATTTTTTTTTGCCATTTAAAGTTTAAGTTCACCTCCCTGACTGAATTTAAAACTAGTTTTTGTATTAAACTACTAAACAATTCTATTAATCAGATTTGGTAGGGGAAAAAAATAAAATAAAATCAGAGATTATACATTTTGTAAGCCATTTTGCCTAGCCCTTTAGGTCTTAATTTCAAAGGCCATGCATTCAAACTCTGTATATCAATAATATAGTTTAGATTTAGATCTCTGACTCTTCTGATGCAAACACCTAATGTTTGTTTTTATTGGCTGACACATTGAGGCTCATTTAGAGTGGTGGGAACCCTTTATAAAAGCAAAGAAAGTAAAGAAGTCAGGAAACATTGGTCACACATAATTGATATCATCACACTAAACAGCATTATTATTGTATTAACACGTCTTATTGATATCAAGCAGCCCTAATTACCACCTAAAGCATCACAGGCTCCAATCCCATTTCTCTGGAGATAAATGTGGTTCTGTATTTTACATTCAACACAGAAAAAATACACAAAATTAAATGCATTTTTCTGAGATGTCACATAAATGGTTAAATATGAAACAAAAAAAGTTGTAAGAAAAAAAAATGTGTGTCTTTTTTTTTCCAACTCTAATATTAAAACATTGGGAACATCAGTATAAAGAAGAACCACCTAAAATAAATTAGTGCTTTTGTTAATAGTTTGGTGTCAAGTTCATGAATGATCACTGGTAACCAGATTCATCTGGATCCTTCAGTCTGTCCAGTAACTAAAGATAGGAAACAAAGGAGCTGGCTGAAGTTCGGGAATTAGTACAGTTGGGCATATAGTCCCTTTGTAAAATATACAGATTAGAATTAGGATCTTGGCATTTGTAATCACTCTCAATACAATTAATTTTGCACAAGCATTAACATGAGGAGTTTTATGCTGGATAATCAAAATTATCTTTCCCCTATAATCTGGAGCCACAACATGGCTTTTCGTACCACGGCTAAGATGGTAATTAATACGACAAATTGCATACAGGTCTTGACTTTATTAACAACTGATGTTTTGTTTTCCTTCATCTATCAAATTTTTCACAACCCTAATGATGACGATTTAGTCTCTACATTGTTTGGTCGACTTGTACAGATATGTCTAACGTTTTAAAAATAGACTAAACAAATGTACATACTGGTACTTTTACCCTTACTTCTGACGTTTACATTGACTTCTGCAAACCGTGAGTGATTGAAGCCGACGTCAAACTCTAATGTGCTGAGGTAATCTGAAAATCTTACTTCCCAAACTTTCTCCTGAAGATAATCAAAACGTTTATCCAGACTGTAACCTCTGGAGAAGGATCCAGGATTATTTTAACGCTATGCATAGTTTAGCTAATGAAAGTGGGGTTTAAAAAACAAAACATACAAAAAAAAAAAAAAAAAGCTTACTGTTAGAAACCTGCAACAAAGTGGAATCAGAGCTCATTATATTCACCACAGAAGTTTATTTAAAGTGTTTTGGCAAATGATGCTATACTTCAATTTTAATTCATAGTGATTATAAAAGGAATAACATTTTTGCTGTGGCTTTCAAAAACAGTCCTGTTGATGTACTTTTATGCTAGAGCAGCTCTACGACACTAGTGTATCCATATGTGATGTATAGAATTAATTCTTAATTGTAAGACAAAAAAATCTAATCCTATGAAATATTGCTCTCATCAAACTGTATTAAATTAGATTTATACATTTTCAATTTAAACTGGTTTAAAGAGCAGAGATCTGAATAGGGTGGTCGAGTGCAGGGCCTGAAAAATGAGGTGACAGATAGGTCCAGGGTGGCCTAATCCTTTGGGATTTCTTTAAAAAATATATAGCTCATGTCCGTTTTTGTATTGCTCAGCCTTTCTGCTTTTAAATATGAGGAATTAATATTTCTAGAAAAAAAAAAAACAGTAATTGCACTTTAGGTAAAAAACACAAAGTGAACATAGTAGGTTATGCACGTACCGTATTAAACATCAACCATGCAAAAGAAAAAAAAAAGGAAATGCTGCAAAAAAAAAAAAATGAAATGAAATCCATTTGAAATAGCATGAGTCACAAAGAGCTAACTCAAAACAACATATGATGAATGGAATGTGGCAATACCTGGACTAACCACAACAGCAATTTCTGTTGTGAATGTCCACTTTGATGTTAAATCGAGGAGAGGTAAATAATACGGCCAAAAGACCCAGTCCAAAGGAATCACTTTCTGCAAGCGGTTTGAGGAAAAAATATATAACAATTTGACTAGAACTAAATGTCATCTTCCTCCACTAAATAAGTCACTGCTCAATTTGAGATGGGGGGGGAGGGCTGTCTTCGCCATGGAGGGTATGAGCAGGAGGGGGGGATAAAAAGGTGTGCATGCGGTCCAGTACTGACCTGTGCTGGAAGTTGAGTGGCAGTCCACCCCCTGCCATGCCCCCCCCTGCTCTCCCTCCCTCTGTGGGGTCGTCTGATCCACCCCAATGCGCTGGCGATTCCTCTGGCCAGGATCTGAGCATATGGTGACACGGTGAGAGGATGAGGGTGGATGGTGCGCAGGAAGGCTACTCTGCAACACCAACTTCTTGTTCTACCCTGACCACTCCCTATGCCAACAGAAAGCCACACTACATGACAGGGATGTCATGCAGCCATAAGAAAAAGTGCAGATTATTGTGACCGAGAAAATAATTGGCATACAGTGGCGATAAAGACTTCAAAATGTAAGTGGTACCACTTAGTCTATTGAGACTTCCATCTGTGAAAGTTTGTTTTGGAATTTTTTTCAGAAAAACATGACATGTAAATAGTACAAGTCAAACCAATGCACAACATGACAAGAGCCCTTTTAAGTTTTTATTTAATCATCAAGTACACTGTTAGAATATATATAAAGTAGATCCAGATTTACTTAAGTTGTTGCCAATAGTTTTTTTATAACTTACAAACATGTTCAAAATACCCAAAATTATTTCACAGTGGTTCAAATACTTTCTACTGGCTGAAATATAACAAATGAAACATAAGCAAAACACATTTTCAAGCCAAATTAATTGTGACATGAGGTGTGATGAAGACTCCAAAGTATTAAGTCAAGAAAATGTAATATCTCAACATTCATAGGCTGCCAGTATAGCATCATTCCTCCCCCTCACCACCATCTCATTAATAGAAACTCGATTTGCGGACAGCTGCACTCGCGTACACATTATAGGAGAATTGATTGCACCCAGCACACAATGAAAAGGATGAACACCAGCGAGGGAGGGAGTGAAAGGAGTGAATTAATTAAGAGAACCAGGTGGTCAAATGTTGGGTGGAAAATCACTAGCTAATTACACATCACACTGTGGCCACAGTCTTGCAGTGGACGGTTGTCTATTGTTGAAATACTGACGCTTCATTTGAAACTGACCTTATGCTCATTGAGCCACATGGCAAGTGAGTGAGTCTAGTCACTCAGTGGAGGCTTGCTGTCAGTAAGGAGAGAAACAATACTTCTAATATAAACATTAATTGAAGAGTCATACATGCTGACACATCAGACACTACTTGGATGAGTGATCCTCAACCTTAACTTTGTTTTCTCAATTTACACTTTCACTCCTAGAGTAATAAACACAATTTTAGACCTTAAAGTCCATTTCTTGCGTATTAACTATTTTTAAATTGACCATCTGGACTCTTACTATAAACATTATTTATTATAGGACTTATTTTTCCATAACAGTATCTAAACATCTTGAGTTTCTAAGTAGTTTGGATTTGGTCCAAAGCAAAGCACAGTATGAAAAAATGTTTTTAGAACTTTTAAATTCACTTTTTCTTTCTACGGTGGTAAATGAGCACTACATAAAAGTATGAGATTTAAGTTTCGTGGTGCATCTTTCTCCCACACCCTCTAAACGCATTATAAAAAGGCTTTTCTTTTTTTTTTATCTTAAACTTCGCTGGTAAACCAATTAGGATGGAGCAGTAATCAAGAGGGTATTATTATATATGGAGGTATTTAAAGTGCAGTTTGTTTGTTTTTTTGCAAGATTTTTTTAGATTATTATTTTTTATTAATGCCCATAATCTATAGTGGACTCGGGATATTCTTCATGCAGGCACAAAATGTACATTCATTTGGTTATTCTTGGTGTAAATGTAAATTTTCATTACTCCAACAATAAAACGACAAGTTATTTTTGAATCAGACAAAAAAATAATAAGACTTTAGCTTAGCCATCGTGTTTGGGAAATGGCTCTTCTCTAGTCTTACCTGGCCTGTGCTTCGTCCAGGCTTTCGTCGGTGATGGCCATTATTTGCTGTAGAATATCCCCAATGTCTTGCTGCGGCTGACCGAGGGACTGTTGTTTCCGGACCGAGTCCGGATCACCGACATCGGGCTGCGGTAGTCCACCGAGTCCGGTGAGACCCGTCAGCATCCTGGTCTGATCATCCATACTCTCAAAGAAAACTCGCCGTTTTCCTCGGTCGACGAACACAATCAAACAGCTAGCCTATTAGCTAGCCAGCAAAGTGTCTTCCACGACAAATCATACAACACTTATTTCCTTACCCGAGAGCGACAACGGGCGATTAGTTTGGTGCTGTTTTTAGTCAACCAAACAGCGCGAACAAGCTTTACATTCGTCTGTATCTTTAGTTTCTTTTACCAGTTAGTAAACGCGGCCGGGGCTAACGGAGGCTAACCACCGTGTAAAAAAAAAGAAGCAGCTAGGTTAGCAGCAGTAGCCCAGCAGAAAAGCAGCAGGGACACACATGCACAGCCCGTGTGAGCGCCTTGCACATTTTCGGTATGGAAAAAAAAAAAAAAATACAGCGAAAATGTAGTCACAAACGAACACACAGGTACTTAGAATTAGCGCGGCAATTTAGGGAGGTATATCAGGAATGAACACAGCTTCAAACCCTTGGTGCTCCTATAGGAAATGTGTTACCAAAACAGGCAACGGATTGCCATTGTTGTTGGTGAGTGTGTGGGATGTTCTTCAGAGTGCTGTGCGTCGCTTTGACCATTAAAACTCACAGCACAGAGCGCGATCCTGTGGGTGGGTAAATGAAAAACTACTAAATGAGAGCATGAAATATTTGCAACCGCATATGCATATATTAGGCATTTATTTAAGATTGGGGGACACTGCAAAATATACTTGTTAAGCAAAACTGCTACTTTAATGTAAATGTGCAATAGCAAACATTTTGACTATTTTGTAGATCTCCTATTAGGATGCCCATTAACATTCGTTTGTTACATATAATCATTTCCAGGCAAATATTTATCATTGAGCAAGCAAATAAATACACAAGTATGTTTTTTACAGCTCTCAAACTAAGAAATGTTTATGATAAAAGTGTATAAACACCATATAAACTTAGGTGCAAAAAAAAAACTGCATATTTTGCAAAGTCACTGGCATTCATGAGTGCAAACTGTGCCAATTTCCTCAAGTGTTTGGTCCCCCAAGCAAAAACAGTTCCGGATACTCTCCCATACCCCTGATGAATGAAACATCCCATCAGTTTTCAGGATGAAAACGTTGACAGCGGATTGAAAACAAGTGTCCTTGCTTTTTGCAAACTGGGCAATTCTGATGTTGTTTATCACTCAGATCACAGAGACAGCTTTCTGAGACGAATGGCGGACTGAATGGATGTGGAGGAGAGAAGCAGCAAGCCCTGCTAAAGTGAAAGGAGATGATGGGTGTGCATGGGGGAGTAGGACTAAACTGGCAATGGTTTATGCTGACTCTCCTGCTATCCATCTACTACAATCTGTAACAAATCAATCTAAAGTTAGAGACAACAAAATAGCAAACAGTTGGTCTTTGCATGTGCTTCTAAGAAATCAGGCCCTCTGTTGTTTAAAGTCATGTTTTAGTTTAAAATGAATATACTCTGGACAATTTAAACAAGACGCTTAATGTCCAAACTACATGACATTTCTCCCATTTTATCTTTTTTTTTCCATCTGAACCTCTAAAAAAAAATCATAGATTAACTGTAATATATTTTTTATGCTGAGAATCAGCTTAAAGGTATGTTTTGTCAACCCTTTATTAACTCAAAAGCAACTTAGTCAACTTTCTTTTCTTGTAGGTGATTCACTTAAAGAGAAATTCTGTGAAACCTTTACTCATTTGGATGCTAAAGCTGCCCTCTTCTCACCCCACAAGCATCAAGCCTCATTTTCATCTAAATAAGAATCGATCTATCCTGCTGTGCACCATCTTCCCTTACTAGCAACTCATGGTCACAGCACCACATTTTCTTTGCTTGTCTGTATGGTCTGCAATCACTCCCCTGGATAAAGCCACAAAGAAAATCCACCACAAACCGCCCTAGGGACTGTAACTCCAGTGTAAAGTTATAGACTTATATGGTGTGTGGAGAGAAAAAAAAAAAAAAAGGATTTCCTATTGCACAGTCAAGAGTCACAAATTGAGCAGATGTGTTAATTGATGAATGGGTCCAAGAGATTTTGGAGATGGCAAATGAAGCCTTGACTGACTGGTACAATGTCAAAGCTTCGTTCTGCATCAGTGACCAAGCCAAGCAGGAGATGGGGGTGAGTCACCGTGGGGGAGGGGCCTTCTTCTGTATGGTCAGGGGACACTGGTGAAGTGCAATAGATGCGGCACCACACAGGAGTAAACGTGACAGCGGCTGATTCTCAAGGGCTGGTGTAAACTAAATGCTGTGAACAAAGTAAAAGCTTTGTTTTTGTTTAAACTTCAAACAATTTGACCAAGATATAGTCAAAAGATTTCCCTAAATAAGAAACGTCTTTGCATTTCAACTAACCCCCTCCATGTTCACTTTCAGGGGTTTACCTTTCAGTTTATTTTGTTTTGATATTTATTTTACATGGGCTACAGTGTCAAATATATTTAATGCCTCACATTGTCTAAAAAATACAATATATACAGCAAACATGCAATTGATCATATCTATTACCTTAGTCTGGTAATCACTTTTATTTAAGGTGACTGCTTTTCACTCAAGTTTAATACATACACTGAAATGACTTCACTTTCCAGAATGTCAAAATTTGGGCTCAATTTGTTAATCATTAGCTATTGGTCCAAGCCCTACTAGGATTTGAAGACGCTAATAGAATTAATTAAGGGCCAAATAATAATCCACTCAGGCCATTTGCCACCTTTTAACATAATTTTGAGAATAGTCAGCTACTGCCACCTGCTGGTCAAATACATGTATAATTTGAACTGTCTGGCAGTCCAGTATGAGGAAGAATAACATTTGCAGCTTTCTTTCCTTAAAAACATTACAAGAAAAAAGATGTAAAGGTCTAAACATTTTCTTTTTTGTTTTAATTCAGTTGCTTAGAAGCATCGTCTCTTGAGGAGTTGGAATATGTAGTTGCCTTTTGTGAAGGTGTCGTCATCAGATTTATAAGAAGGTTTGATGAAAGGTCATGGATTCCCGCCTCCTCAGCTAGAGGGAGCATAGAAACAAAGGTAATCAGTATACATTTTTTTTCTCATTATGTCGTCACAAAAAGTTTTACATAGAAAAGAACAATGGAAAAGCTTTACCCAATTGGCCACTGGTATGTTTTACCAACAGCTGGGATTGCTCCTTGATGGCAAGTAGCTGCCTTATCATTTTACACTGAGTGTCCATCTAGAGACAAGGAGGAAAAAAATGTCAAAGAAGAAAAAAAAAATCTTTTAATCCTTACAGAAGATGAAAAATTACAGTTGTTGTAAGAGCATTTAAATATTTGTAAAAGCATTTATAAGTGGAGCTCTTATCCCTAGACTTCCAAAAAATCCCCCTGAATAATTGCCATTTCCCTTTACCATCCATGTACTTTGACTTTAAAAAAATACAATGAATGGTTCTACCTAAAAAATAAATGAAAAACTAAATAAAAAAGAAAAATCTTTTGATAAGTTATTGTTTGACAATAAATTTAGTCACACAGAAACATCTATTGAGGACAGAATGTTTATGTGGTTTTCAAATATATGTGATGTAACCCTTAGTCAGAACAAACATTTGGTTATGCATCTTCTTTATTGGTTTGGTAGCTTATAGGTCAGTGGCACTATACATTTTTTTTCTTTTCAGAGTCACCAGTGTTCAGCTCCCAAATAGATGCATAGTTCTGCTTTTGATACATTTTCTTATATTAACATTTATATTAACATAAAGATCAATTTAATCATCACACTTCAATGCTCGGATTGTAATTACGACCTTAAAGCTTGCAACACATTTTTCCTCGTAAAGGATACACTCACACTAATACTAATCAAAGTTAATTTGCTGCAGTTCCCACTTAGCATCAGCAGGGAGAGAGAAATGGGATTTTGTTGACTGGAATAGTATGTTTTTTTGTGCCAGACGGACCAGTCTCTGTATTTCTTATCTTGCTAGTTTGCTGGGAATTTCCCAGTGAACCATTTCAGCAGTGAACTGTGCAAAAAGAAAATACATCCAGTGAGTAGCAGCAGTGTAGAAGGAAATTCCTTGTTGATGTCAGAAGAATGGTCTGACTTATAAGCCTTCCTCAAATACCAGAGGTGTCAAAAGTAGTAAAGTTTATTACTCCAGTAGAAGTATAAATCCTACTGTTTGAAAACACTATTGTAGAATTTAGAGTATTAACTTAAGCTTTTAACTCAAGTAAAAGTACAATTTTTAAAACTACTAGTATAAAAGTAAAAGTAATGCAGGAAAACTTTTAAGGACAGATGCTTTAAATCTTATACTGGTTATTGCACTAGCCTATTAAAGGAACATTTTCTGGATGACACCTTCCTTATACAAAATGTTCTTAGTTTTATACTTAATGATAACAGTGTCAACGTTAACTTTGCATCATCTTGAAAAAATTTTGGTATGTGGTGAACAATTTAGTGCAGTACCAAGTCCAACCACACAACAACAAAAAATGTCTGAATAAAACAAATTATTTTTATGTTTTTTTTATTTTTTTAAATACTAACAGACCATAACCATAATGAGCTTAAATGAAACAGAACACACAAGTCTATTTTTAAAATGTAAGGAGTAGAAAGTAGAGATAATAAAAATAAAAAAAAATGTAAGGAGTAGAAGTAAAAAGTTGTCTATAAAATAAATACTCCAGTATAGACAGCCAAGATTTCTACTTAAGTAACAAAGTTACTTGACAACTCTGTCAAATACCCACTTGCCGTGACAGAGACATGGATAAGAATTCATCTGATTGCAATCTAACCTTAAGGAGTACAGGCTACAGCAACAGAGGACCACATGTGCTACTGGTGTCAGCCAAGAACAGTTAAACAGGGCAACAATAAGCACAGAATCATTAAAGGCAACAATGTCCAATGAGCTGTTGTTTCTTGTAAAGAATCACTTGCTGTGGTCAGAATATGGCCCTGAGAACACAAAACTATTGATCCATCCTTCATTGTACTAACAGAACGAGGTTCTAGTCACTTTGTAATGGTGCAGGACATATTTCCTTGGCATATCTTTGAAATGCCACAGCCTACCCAAGTATCGTCTGGTGAGTCTATATGCTTTTGTTCTGTCCGGGGAGCAAACAGTTCAAATACACTATTGAATGCCTTTTTAGGATGCCACTGAATTCAAAGCTTAGGGCAAAAAAACCTGCTATCACAGTAACTTTTTTAAGATTTCTGTAATAAACAAATAAAAAAGTGCAACCTACAATCATGGCTGTTGAATGCATCATGCGTTGTTGCCTACATAGGACACTGCGGTAGTTGGGTTTACTCTGTATGACATGGTACTGCAACGACTGGACAATAGATGTTGGGTTTAGTGATATTCCCGCCTCTTGTCCCATCTTCACCTTCCTGTAATGGATGTCATCATATGATTGGCACATAATGGAGATCGTTTTAATGGGACAGCTTAGTAAGAATAAAAATGTTTACTTTTCCAGTTCCTCTGCTTTACTCCTGTGTTTGTTGAGAAGATCCTCCCAAGAGTCACTTTCAGCCTTGAGCCTAAGAAAAAGCAAAAGGCCGTTAACCAATCCATAATACCATGTGACTCAAAAATAAATATTATAGTGTATAAGGGCAGAGACAAAATAACCTGCCTGCTGATTGCTTTCTGGATATTTTCCATGGTTTTTTGCATGGCTGGTTGACTACAAAATAAAAAAAAAATAAATAAAAACAGACTAAATCATCAGAATTCATATCAAAATTAAAATACATTGAAAAAATTTTGCACACCTGGATTGACTTGAAGGGGGTTGATGCGTTTCCTTGTTCATATTTTTAGTCAAGCAGCTCCACTCATTTTTGATTTTTTCAACTACATAAAGAGAAAAAAAGCCAGATTAAGACAAAGGATTATGTAAACGAGTGATTAAAAATGTAAAGCTTTAACGTACTCAAAAAAAAAAGCTCACCTTGTTTTTTAAAGGACTCGAGTGAAGCATTTGGCATAGACTCGAGTGAAGTCTTGGTCCTTTCAAGTGCCATCTAAACAACAAATATTTGTGAATTAATAAAAAAAAACATTGAATCTAACACTTTATGCACAATGAGATATGCAATGTTGAGAAAAAAAAAAACAAAAAACAAAAAAAAACACACAGCTTTGTTTGCATGACATATAGCCTAAACCAGACCCTTACCCTAACCATTACCAATATATACCTAACCTAAACTAAACTGAATTCACACCTTAGTCCTAAATATAAGCCAAACTCAAAGAAAAGATGAGAACTTTACCATAAGGGGACCGCATTAATGTCCCCATAGGTACCTTTAAGTCCTCATAATATAGGATAATCTACCAAACACTCCCCCACATTCTAGATTAAACAAGACCACACACACAATAATGTTTCCCTATCCTTCCTGGGACTTTACATTGCCTCCATTCATTTCTAAGTCATTTCTACAGCCTAACCATGACCCTTACCCAAAACCTAACCATTACAGGGTTCCTACTTAGTCCTAACCACGACCTAAACTCAATTCACACCTTAGTTTTCAATCTAACACCTACCGTAAGTTTAAAACAGCTTTGTACCAATGGAGACCAGACATCGGTCCCACAAGAGTACCTGGTGCCCACGATGTGCTATGATTTAAGGAAAATGGTCCCCAAGGTGTAAGAAACACACATACCCATACACACGAAATCATCTTTTAACCTATTTTCAGAAATGTCAGAATTACAACTGTTAACCTCCATTTTGTTAATCTAATACTGTGGCAGGTCTTCATTAATGTGGATAACATTTTTTATTTATGAAAGGACTATATCCAATTATTTTGACAAAATACTAACACTACATTGTTATCCCTATATATGTCACAATGTTTCCAAATTTTCACTTAATCTTTTAATAGTTGATAGGACTAAATAAATAACATCCATCAATTCATCTTCAAATGAATGTCTGTCAGGGTCTAACAGGCTGTATCCGAGCATCCGCCCTAACCCATCGCTCTCTACATAGAGCGGGGACTGTATAGTGGACTTTATAGTAAATTCAGTTAAATGACTGTTCGGACAGATGCCACTACTTTTTGCTTCCCGTTGGTGATGTAACCTTTCACATGGTTGCTTGCACCATCTTTGTCCTCTCTTGTACCCATAACACATTCCAGGATGCTTTTCGAGGGGAGCCCTTGCAAACCATTCTTTGATGCATCTGCCTGTCAAGTGAACATTGATGTTCACTATTTTTCAAGGTGCATTTTGGGAAATTTTGAGTCCACTACTTTTCCATCCACTAGTCATTCAGACACTCATATAAAATGGCATAACTCCTATGTAGTGCTCTCTAATGGGATTACAGTGCACATTTGGACACAGCCATAGACTTCCAGACTGTGGGAGGAAGTAGGAGTACCAGAGAGAACACAAACACGTATGCACTAAAGTTCATGCAGAAATACTGAACCCAGGACCTTCTTGCCGCACAAATGCTACAGACTGCGCAACTTTTAAAATAACAGAGTGCTTTTGGTTTCCTTAGCTTCATTGAACATACCTCCATTGATGCCTCCAACAGCTTTTCCAGTCTCTCTTCTTGTGATAATGATGGACTAATGCTTCTGCACAAAGCTAGGACAGATTCATGAAGGTTATTATAAGCCCTATAAAAATACTAAACATAAATATTCCAAAATTGCGAAAACAAATGGTTTAGGATAAAGGTCTCTCACCTTCATATGGGTTAGGAAGGGCAGGGAGTGAGCGTCGGGTTATAGTGGCTCTCCTAAATGATTTGTTTGGTTGAGATGGTCTCTCTGTGATGTCCGTCTCCATTTCTTGCTTATTCAGCTCTGACTGTTCCTCTCTCGGATCTGCCATCTGTGTTGTTTTTGATGGAGACTCGATCCGGGGTGATTTGAGTAAAGGGACTGAGTCTGGGACTGAGGAGGAACATCTTTTCGATGCCTTGGAGGGGCATCGAAAAGATGGCAGTTAATTTCCAATCAACAAATTAGCAGCTATAAAATACAGCAGTTCAACGTGTTTCTATTTCTTACCTGAACTGAAGTCTCGTCTACACAAATACGGCTAAGGCTAAATAAGTAAACAGGAAAAAAAAACATATCGATTACATTTTTACTGAAACAAAACTTCCGAAAATTCTCATCAAAACATGACAACAACACAGTTCGCTTAGAATTATCCACAACATTAACAATTCGTGGGACCTTAAAGTTAATAAGTATAGTAGAGAATCTAAAACAAAACATAAACAGACCCGTTTTCAACTCCAGTCTCATTTTCCGCCATTTTAATTTCAAATAGGTATCTTCACCGCGCGCCCAACAGACCAAACCCCTTTTACTAAGAATTATGGGAAATGTAGTTAAGAAAGAAAGGACGATCCCAAAACGTCAATCTGTTAAATCTTGAATTGATCCAGTATATTAACATAGTGAGAGGATTGTTTTATGACCATAATATTGATTTTATTTACATTTAGATTTTGGCCACTAGGGACGCTAGACCTGTACCGTAGTGGTCACAAGGGCCTCAGCTGCATTAATACCTGTCAGTATGTTAGTGTTTTCATTGTAAAACACTTTGTGACTTTTTATTTACTGTAAAAGATGCTATAGAAATAAACTTTCATTATTTACTATATAAACAAAGATAATCTAGAGACCATTTATGGATATTTAAGAATAATTTGTATTAACTGTAAACTCATTTGTGTTGTCAAAAATTTAAATTCTTCATAACAATTATAAAGCATTTTCCACGTTCACTTTTGGTACAAAAGTTTATTTGATACCAAGCTAATATTTTGGAAGCTACTATGGATTCTCTCTGAGCATTCAGCTTGATTTGTCAGAAAGGCTGTTGCCCCATTAAGGCGATTATGCCTCAGAGCTTATTCACAGTTCTTTTACATTCAAAATAAATACTTTACCTTCAATAAAACTTTATCTTATACTAAATGAGTCACTAAAAGGACTTTAACATGATTAACCATAAGTTTAACAGAAATAGTTACAGCACTGGCCTTGTTGTCTGAAAGTCGCCACTTGTGTCAGAATGAAAAATGAGCTGTAAAAATACAATCCTGGGGATTTCTTATCCCTCAGTGGTATAAGTACATAAGTAAAGCATATGTGATACATAGTCCTGGTCTATCTGATACGGTGGTGTCCAACCCTACTTTGTAAGTTGTCTGCTTACTCTTGAATATCATGGTAAACAGGTTTAATGATTTCTGCCCTTTAGAATAATAACTGATATCTATATAGCTTATAATTATATAGGCTTCCCCATAGCTTCTCATTCTTTGCTCCTAACCTTTTGACATTATTTTTATCTTGCCAAAAGGGTTCTCTGCTGCAGCTAAGAGGATGGAGATTAAATAGAAATAAAACATTAGAATTTATAAATGATACTAGGGTAGAGAAAACTCATAATGGATAAGTATGCATGTATTTTAGTTGTTTTTTTTAACAAAAGATTATTCCCAACATTAGCATACCACACCTTCTCTTTCCAATATTATATTTTATCTTTAAAAAATTTCGGCATCCGATTGTTAGAATTTCCCTGTTCTACAGTGAATAAGGTTCCATTGTTTTGCATCTAGCAAGGCCATTCTTCTTGATATGCATACAGGTAAATTCATAGTAATGCTAAAAAATGACACCTGCATTTATCTTTCAAGCACACCCCAGTTTTAAATCTGAACTGATATTTAAAACTGTTCATAGTGTAATTCAGCTTATATAAAACACACAAAAAATTGTTTTTGAACGAAAGAAAATCCATAGCATGATCCTGCCTTCAGCATGTTTTATTTTTTTGATTGTTTTATGCTTCTATGTCAAACCTGTGTTGTGGAACTATTACCCTATAGTTCCAGATTTAGATATTTACTTTGCAGATTCATTTGTCTTGCCATATAGGCTTCTAAACATAGACCAATCTAAAACTATGGTTTTATATTGGACGTAAGTATAATACGTATTATTACATAAGTATTGGATGTAAGTATTATTACGTTCAACACAGCAGTTTTTCATCATTTCCATTAGTTTTAATCTGTGCTGGCAGATGCCATCACTTCTCATTCCCTGAGAAATTCACTCCGAGTCCGTTTCATTTTGGGATATTATTAAACTTCTTAGCTGAATTTTCTCTCTGAACTTAAAAGATGCCTCTAAAAGGATTGATATATTGTTTGTATTAAGTCTAGGGGTATAGACTAAACGAGCGCATTAGAATCCCCCTCATTATTATTCTATTCTGCTAACTGTTTCGAATTCAAATTCTATTTTATTTATAATTCTATTTATGTAAATCTGTCCCACTTTGCACACAATCATTTAATGTTTTTTATAAAGCATGGAAACATGATGTTACAGGCCCTCTGTTGCAGAACATTTGAGATCTGTGCTGAATGTTTTCTTCATTTGGCAAATACAGCAAATTTTCTTAAAGGTTGCGTATCTTAGATTACTCTAAGATTACTAGATTACTCATCCTTAAATGAATAGTGCTTTCATTTTTGGTACGAATGGTGAATTCCATGATATAGACCCTTTGATATATATTGATGTTTCCACGTGCATTTACATTGTACTCTTATATTCGAGTCATCCTAAACTTGCTGATTCAGTAAAAGGAATGGTTGTTACTAAGAAGACATGCATGCATTCTCTCACTACAATAAAAACACACAAAAAGACTAAATAAAAAAAATTTGTAAGTTTAAATCTTTATAAGTCTGTTAAACGTCTTAACTTTTTACAAAAACAAGGAAGGGAAAAAAATCCAAAACACTATTGCAATTCTCTTAGAGAATGCCCTTTTTTGTGCCTGTAGGTTTCTCTCTGGCTGGCACAATCTGAAACTCCACACAATACTGCTGTCTTCATGGCCTTTCAAAAGAGTGGAGAGGGAAAAAACACAAAGGACATATGTAGAAAAATTGAAAGTTATAAAAAAAAAAAAAAGATAATTAAAACATAGCAATGAAAAGAAAGACCCAAGGAGTTTAGGAGGGGCAGAGTAGGACAAAGAAAGGGTTAAACAGAATGAACAGTCCTATACACCATGACCATCTCAGTTGTTTTGTGTTTGGAATCACAGCTGTATTTTCCTTCCTCTTCAAAAGTCTTCTGTCCCTTTACAGTTTGGTTTTAAGGGCAGCATTTGCTGTTGGCACTGAGTTCATGAAGGCAGCCTGAGATTTCCTTTGCCCAGGAAGAACTGGAGGACACGGTCCACAAGCAGAGCAGCCACAAAGTCCACCACCAGAACCTGGGCGATTATTAATTTGAACTGCAAGGAAGTTTATGGAACATGTTACACAATCTCATCAGCTTTGTTTTATTACAATGTGCCAAAACCAAAAAAATGGTTAAAATAGTGTTAGCTCACCTCAGTTGGGATATCCACGAGAGCAAACTGTTCATTGAATTCTGGAGAAGAACCTGTAAGAAGTCCTACAATTGCTAAACCCGAAATTGCAATACTCCACAGTAGCGGTCGATTTTCACTCAGAGATTCCATGAAAGGGTGACCCTATTGGACATAAAGAGGAATCCATTATATATACAATACAAGGTACAAATTTTGATTTTACATGCATACAAAAAAAAAACAAAAAACATAGCCATAAATAGTAACACCAGGAACATGTACCTTGTAGTTTATGGCAAAGGTGGCCATCTGCATGGCCATTGACATTATGTACACAGTGCTGTTAATCAGACTGGGCTCAAATTCTTTATACAGATCAACAAACTGCTCCTCTCTGTAATAAAACAAACAAAACAAAAAAATAGCACATTCAAAAAGGTTAGTAGGAAAAACTGATAACCTTTTGTTTCCAATTTAAAATCAAATCATCAACCCTAAAGAATGCCTCCTTGTAATGTACCATGAGCATGACAAAGATAATATTTTTATAACAATTATAAATAAGATAAAAAGGGCCTGTTCATCGATAGTTTTAGCATGATAAAGATGAAATTAAGGAAGTGTAGGAGTCAATTCAAAAACAAGTAAATATGTTTAAAATGTATATATCCCATTCATTCTGGTAAATAATATATTTTGTTCATTTGAATTTACAAATGTCTAGATAGCAGTTGTGAAAATTACACATTTCTGTCATGTTGTTTTAATTCATGGTCTACACAAGCAGATTTTTGCACTACTCTGCTGTACTCAGAGGGGGGTAATAACTAGTTAGATTTACCCAGTTACACTTACTTGATTAACTTTTGTAAAAATAAGAAGTACTTTTAGGAGCAGATATACAGTGTTGTGCTTTTTACTTTTACTTATTGGTGTATTGGTTAAATGTTATTTTCCATCTCCTGAGTCTGTAGTGTCATTTGGAGGTTGAGTGAAAATACATTAAACAGTACACTGTACCTTTACCTAATCTACATACTGTAAAATATATTTGTAACTAAAAAAATATGTTTTGAAGCGTATTCATTACACCTGATTTTTTTATTGTGTAATTAATTTTATTTTTTAATATTTTATGTTTATTTCTATCTTATTCTTTGAAACACTTTTACATCATTGCGTAAAATAATAAATCAGATGGTATGAGCAGCTACTCCGTACTTGAACAGCCTTTTTACCAAATACTTTTTTACTCTTGAGTAATTTCTTTAAAGGCTACTTTTTGATTTTACTTGATTAAAAATATGATGAAGTAGTGCTACTTTTACTTAAGTACTAATTTTGGGTACTCTACCACCCTCTAGTTTTACTTTTGCTTACCTTGGTGGACTTCTGCTTTGTGCCTCCTTATAAAGGTACACAAGACTACAGAAGTGAACAGCAAACTGCAGCAGCACAGTCAACACCGTATACAGATTGAAGATGTTTGGTAAAGGCCGCTCTCGAGACAATGTTTTCAGAGGCTGCAAAAAGAGGAGAATCCTCATTGGTCTTTTCATAAGAAACATAAAAGTGGTGGAAATGAAGAGACCTGAAACATTTACACTGTAAGTCTTACCTTTGATCTAGATATAAAGAGAAAGCATCCAGCCAGAAGCAAGCCTTGCAGAGTTGCCTGAAAATCGCTGAATTTTACTCCTTCGAGGTAGAGGACAGACTGACTGTAGGCCAGCACTAATGCATTGAGAGCAAGAATCTTAAACATCTGGAGTGTTGTCACCAAAGTGCAGCGACCTTGTTTTATCACATGACAAACTGGAGATAAAAAATAAAAAAAAGACAAACAAACAGAATTAATCTAAGCAATGGGTATCAGTTCAATGTGTAATCATAGCAAGTCATACTGAGAACAAAAAATTGAAACTTGTGACTCACTGCACTGAATGGAGGAGAGTTTTGAC